GTGATACTCGAGGGCCTGCCCGATCTCCGGCCAGAGAAGGGTGTTGAAGACGTTGGCAATGTCCAGGGACACCGCCAACAACCCCGCCCTCTCTCTCCGCGACCACCCGGGCCAGGTCTCGGAGTCTCTGGATTGCGTCCAGTGTTGACCGTCCAGGCCTGAATCCATATTGGTGGTCGTGGAGGTTCAGCCCCTCCAGGGACAGATGCTGGACGAAGCGGTCGGCAATGATGCGTTCGAGCATCTTGCCCGTTTCGTCCAGCAGACATATCGGCCTAAAGGTCGGCGCACGACCGGGCACCTTGCTGTCCTTCGGGAGTAAGACCAACTTGGCTCTTCTGATAAAGCCTGCCCCTCCCCCCCCCACATCGAGCATCGGTTAGAACGATAAGGTAGGAGTGGCAACCCTCTGCCCCTCTTCAATTTCACCGAGGGGAGCTGAGAGAAAGGGTGGATATCCCCCTTCTCCCCTTTAGTTATGAAACCAGAAAGGCCAACCCAGCCGGGCAAGCCTATCTATTTGAGGCGCAGCGCCCCTCTTTCCCGCGCAATGGGAGGAGATGCGGTACTTTGGCGAGGGGCTCGCTAAAAATGAGCCCTAGGGCCGAGATGTTGGGGAGGGAATGTTGGCATGGTTTCCCTGGCTCCCTCCATTCCGGCCCGGAGTGAAGACAACCCGGGGAGTTTAGCCGGTAAGAGTCTGGCATAACCTCCGCCCCTCCCCAAAGAGACGGGGGTATCCATGAGGATTTCCCCCCGTGATAAAAAAAGAAAAAGCGTCTGCTCGCCCACTCGGCGAGACAAGGGCGGACAGCTACGGCCCGGGTAGAGTACCTCAAGTCAGAGTATGGACACTGTCCGCTATTAACAGGGAACTGTTGCGTGTCACATTTAAATTAATTTAAATAATCTAAACGCAAATAAGTAAAAAATAACGATGAAGGTTATTTACAAATATACAATTTAAATTAATATTTAATTTTATGAAAAGTTTCTAATCTTATATAATCAGATTGAGAGTAATCTTATGGAATTTTCACTTATCATAGGTTTTCACTTTGTGAAAAATTTATTAAAATATGGACTGCTAGTACTAAGTAGAGTTGAAGTACTATTTTAAATAACACAGCAGTCACAAGTTAACCACATAATTATACCTTTCGTGTATTTATTTACAACTTTATACACATTTTTATTTTTTTTATTAATTGTTAAACTTATATAATTTTTTTAACAAGAAATATTACTTTAAAAATTACCAAGTAATGTATAATATATAATATTAGGTGTAGTAAAAAGAAATCCATTATTTTTGCACGAAATTGAAGGCTTTAATTACCATAGTTAGAATGATCCGATTTAGGTCAAATATGCGCCGTTTTGTTCGATAACTTGTTGCCATTTTGAAGGTAATTTCATTATGCCTCTCTCATAGAAGTCCTCGTCCCTATTGGCAAAAAATTGAGACAGTCGATTTTCACAAGCCTCTCTTGAAGCGAATTTTTCACCAGCAAAATTGTTCGCCATGGACAGGAAATTAGATGGTAATCACTTGGTGCCAGGTCTGGACTATAAGGTGGATGCATAAGAACCTCCCAACCAAGCTCCCGGAGCTTCTGGCGAGTCACTATCGATGTGTGTGGCCTGGCGTTGTCCTGATGGAACACAATTCCTCTCCTATTGGCCAAAGCTGGCCGCTTCTGGGCGATTGCTTCCTTCAGACGGTCCAATTGTTGACAGTACAGTTCCAAGTTAAGAGTTTTGCCGTAGGGGAGCAGCTCATAGTAGATAATTCCCTGCTAATCCCACCAAACATACAGCAAAACCTTCCTGGCCGTCAATCCTGGCTTGGCCACCGTTTCCGCCAGCTCACCGCGATTCGATCACGACCGTTTTCGCTTGACGTTGTCGTAAGTGATCCACTTTTCATCACCAGTGACCAACCGCTTCAGAAATGGGTCGATTTTGTTGCGATTCAGCAGCGATTCGCAGATGGAAATTCGGTCTATGAGGTGTTTTTTCGTTAACTCGTGTGGCACCCAGACATCGAGCTTCTTTTTGTATCCAGCCTTATTCAAATGGTTCCAAACGGTTTTTTGTGCAATCTTTAGCTCTTGGGCAATCGAAACAGTGCTTACATGACGGTCGGACTCGACAATGTCCATCATTTTATCGACAATTGGCCTTCCAGTGCGTGGTGCATCTTTGACATCGAAATTACCGGAACGGAATCGACGAAACCAAAATTGCGCGTGATTGGCTGTTACAGTATCAGGACCATAAACACTATTCACATTTTCAGCCGCCTGGCTTGCGTTTTCGCCTTTATCGAAGAAAAACTGTAAAATATAGAGTATTTTCTCTTTGCTAGTGTCCATCTTTGACAAGCGCTCAAACAAAACTGAGTCAACTAATCACAAAACTGTCAGAAAAGTTTTTTTAGTACGAAATCTCATCTTTCTAACGCCATCTAGTGGAACCCGATCGGACTTATACAACGCGAGATACAGATAACTAAAGCCATCTATTGGAAAAATAATGGATTTCTTTTTACTACACCTGATATATAATGCAGATAAATGATTTAATAAAATTTGCAGCAATAATATAAATACAAATTCCAAAATAGGTGAGTGTTATAACTAATACAATAGTTTTTCATCAAGTTATTCAAATTTAATTTATATACAATTATTAAATGTGGATTTTTTAGTAAGTCATTAAAGCCCTAGAGGAAGACTCAAAAGGTATAGGATTTTTATTCACTGAAACCATCGCAGGTATTAATTTTCTGATCTTAGAATTTCTTTACATGAGTGTTCATCAATGTCTGAAAGAAATTTTTCTTTAATATCTCATCGGTGCATGTTACATAACATTAGACCCTTTTTCACAGACCGCAACAATATTTTCATATAGTAACTCCTATATATGGACCTGAAATAAGTAGAAATTTTTAAAAATTCATATAATGTAAAAATATGATTAAATGAGTAAGATACGAATTATATGTTTTTAATATGTGTAGAAATATTTTTATTTTGTAATATTGTGCATTGCAACACTTTTACTTGCAAAAGTACAGTTTTGTCTTATAAGCGGTATCATAGACATATTTTTTAGTCTTACAAAGATAAATTTGTTAATAATTTTTTGTTTCAAACTATGACAGTTCGGGATATTAAAATTTAAATCATTACAACAATTAACATAGAAGTCTTTTATATCTAATGATTTTGATTGCAGTTTTTCATAATAAAAACGAAAAATTTTCTCTATATTTAAAATAAAATTAAAAGTCATTTCATTCATAAAAAACAATGTTTTCTTTAAAACATCGCGCTCGTGTTATTTCAGCATACGAAAATGTAGTCGGATTTGTATCACCCGTTGCACTGATGCAGTTATCACAGACTTTGCATTTACTTTTTATTTTATATATTACATATCCTCCTAAATGATACAATTAAATGTCATATTGTTAAAAACTACATTTTTATTAAAACAAATTATATTTGTACTTATAATTGATACTTGATTATTATTTACATCTTTGGCGTTTTGCGGTGTTTTCTTTATTTTTAGCGTTGTGTCTAGAAATTCTGAGAAGAATTTTTTGTCATCTTGCTCGTAACTGCTTGTTTCTACATTTTTCATGTATTGCATGATTGTTATAAATTTTAAATCCGTTTTAAATTGCAGTGCGTTCGGTATTACGTGTTTACTGCGTACAATGGAAAATAAATTTTCTAAACAATCTTGAGAAAATCTTCCAGTTAACACAAAGTCATAGCCTTCTTTATCTAACAAATATTGACTAAGCTGAATAATTGAATGAGTTGAAATTAAAATTCCCGTTTGAAACGGTTTCCATGTTCCTGATCTGCCAACTTTTATTTTTGAAATTACGTTAATCACTTGATGAAGAAAATCCATCGCTGCTTCAAATTTTACAATGTCACGTTTTCCTAAAGCTAATTGCGGTGTTCGCGAAGTTACTAATTTGAACTATTTCGTTATAATACTAACAAACCATGCTGTTGTTATAAAACTACATTTGCCCGTATTCTTGCCTACAAAATTTAATGTTGTTGCAACAGAATGGTTTAGTACGTTTGTAGCACTACTGACCTTCATTTTTTGGAAATGATTTTTTGTGTCGAATAATTTAAAATTTAATTTCGGAGTTAAGCTCAATCCAAAACTTAATGTGTCCTGTGCAGTGCATAAATCTTTTATATCGGAAGCTTTGACTTTGTTGCTTGGGAGATTATACATTAGTACTATTTCGTTTGAAATAATGATAATTTTATTATTTAAAAGTCCTTGGTTAAAATTTTTAAATGCATGCACGCAATCATGGAAAAAATAAAGATTTCGAGTTTTATCATAAGGATGTGTAAAATTTGTAACTTTACTAAATTTTGATGACTTTATTCCAAAAGACTTCCACATCCTCATATTCGCAGCTCCCATGTCACTCGTAATGCTGTGAACTCGTAATCCTATTACTTCAGCTTTATTAATAATTTCACAAATTATTGGATTCAATTTATTTCTATCAAATATGACACCGGTAAAATAATACGCTACGATCTGTTTCCATCTACTTGCTATTCCAGCTAGCATAAAGACTAAAGCGTGAGTTGCAATATTCTTTTCATCATTGTGTTTATCCAATGTTGCATAACCTACCTATTTGTTGAAGAATCAAATACTTCAGAAGGAATTATACTCATTTCATCCAGTACGAGCATACAATGTTTATAAAAATCATTTTTGAAACAGGCTACCTTAAGTTTTAGAAATACAAAAATTTCATCTAAAATTCCGCTGTTAAATTTTACGTTTTGCAATCGTCGCCTTAAAGTTCGTAAAGAAAGTAAAGGCATATGATGCAGTAATTCTTCATATCTAGAACGACCACACGTAAATTGGAATCTCAGTGCTTCCTCTATAGTTTTATTACTCCAAGTTGGTATTTTTTTATATTCCCCCGTTAATAATTTAAATTGATCAGCGTTTAATATTTTACTGCATGCTTTAGTTAGACTGCTTTGATTTATACTCACTTTCTTTTAAGGCGTTTAATAACATTTTTCGCATTTTTCAATTGTGCCTTTACTTTCTTGTGCTGTTGATGTAATTTGGCAAATTGTTCTTGTAATTTTTCAAATTTTTTATGAAATTCTGAATTATCATCGCAATTAGATGTGCTTGGTCTTATCACTTGTTCTTCCCTCTCCGACGTATCCGCATTATTAGAATCTATTTTATTTTCGATGTCGTGGTCACTTATGTTATCCTGTGACATGTTATCCAATATTGTTGCATCTTCCTCAATAGTTTGATTAGCTTGAAAGTTGTGCTCTTTGTCATTAGAATTATTAACGGCTCGTTGATTTTGGTTGTTCTTGATAAAAATGAGATCACCCAGAGCTTTATCCAGTTCATTTTTTTCTATAACTTTAAAATTTTATTGTATTTGTTGGGAAATGTTGTTTGCGTTTGCCGGAGTTCACCGTATGGAGTCTTAGAGGCCTTCTAATATAAGCAATTAGACAAACCATAAACAAATTGACCAATCGATTATTTTTAAAATTATCGATTATGGTTGGTCAATTTGCTTACGGCTCATAATTAATTGCTTATTGTAGAAGGCCTCTTAGCTTAGCTACACTACTTTTAGAAATTTTGTAAGATTATAATGTAATAATACAATGATAGGAAAAACCGCGAAAATAACAAGAAAATAAGCCAAAAAAATCTATTAAAAGAAAATTGCTGTTCTAAAATCTCAGACTACACGTGTTTGCTATTATTAGTGCATTAATTCTTGACATGAGTTATTGGCCTATGATCACAAGTGGAAATAGTAATAAATACAAATTACCTGTATTTCCAAATAAAGTTGGTACTGCATTTCTTTTCAGTTTTAATAAATTGTCCTGGCGATGACTTTCCCACATTTTAGGGGCAAAATGCACCTGAACATTAATATTAAATACAAATTTAAAAATTAGTTCAATAAATATCAATTGATTATCTTTAGTAAATAATATTTGTTTAAATAATTACTTGACAATTATATACCTGACATAACGCCGAATGTTTAGTTGGCGTCCAATTTTCTCTGTTCATATTGGCTACCCATATTGCACATCTTTTTGAATCATTCAATGGAAAATAACACATCTTAAAATATTTTTACCACGAGTTGGAGCAATTGTTTACTGTACAACTGGGCATTTTACACTTCTGTAAAGCAAATATTGTCAAAGCTTCTTTATATGTATGTACCCAATGAGCAAAATGAATGCAAATTGAGCGCAAATTGGCAGCAAATTCGATCAAAACTTGATGCCAAAACCATATGCAACTGTGTCCTCTTTAGGATTGTGTTTTGACGTCAAGGCTTGATGCGGAGCAACTTGCAGTAAATTTGCAGCAAAAAACGCGCAAGTTTTGTAGCGCATAACTTAGCACCAAATAGGCACCAAATATCGAGCAATACTTGCGCACAAGACACGACCCACACAGTACTGCAATATTGCATCAATATTGAAGCAATATTATAATATCGTAGCAATATTACAAAATTACAAGATTATTATATAATATTCCAGCAATATTATCACAATATTACAGAGTGATATATCAGATTACAATATCACTGGAATATTACTGCAATGTTACAATGTGACTATCGTATGGCAACATAGTGACAATATTACAACTGTTTGGGATGCAGGCGCGAGCGCTATCCTAAGCATGCAATGTTGTCGTCGCGCGATCTCGGGACCGGTCGCAATAACAACCGAAAATTTCGAATACACAAAGCGCTCTAACAATGTATCAACAGCATCGAACGTTCTCGACGCGTGCTCTTATTGTTCGCTCGATGGCAGCATGCGATATGCTCGTGTCATAGCGGTCGTCGGAAGCAGTGGCAAATCAAGCGATGACAGCCGATGCGAAAAAACGCCCGATACGGACCAATCATCGAATACCAGCGCATTCAAACTCGGTTAACAACCGCAACCCGAGATGATAAACGATATCTCGGTGACGGATCACGGCAGAAAGCGAGTTAATCCAATCGACGAGCAGATGCATATTCGCAACGCACACCTTGAAAATACTTGGCACTCAAACGGATCTTTTCTTTTCTCTTCTCCATTCCTCAACCTCGGCTTTCGCATTGGACCTTCTTCATCGTCTTCTTCTAAACTTTCGACCTGGCATCCGTTTGACTTCTCTTCTCTCAAAATCTTCTCGACTTTGCAAGTCTTTCATTCCTTCTCATTCTCCTTTCTTTATTGCGTGGTTCGAGCCAAATCAAAGTACACTTCCGCTCACGGTAGATCAAATTGTGCGGTGCCGACCTTCGCTATTTGTAATTCTGCGCGGGAACTCGACTTTCCCTTTGGGTTTTTTTTTGTATTATTGCGTTAATCCATTTGGATAACCGTGTAACGGTAGTTTTGTTAAATTCCATTAAACTCCTGTCAAACCTACCACAGCGCAGTCATTTTGCTATTGACCATATCCACGAGCGCTCTCTCTGAGCGGATCCGGTACATTTGTGCGATCGCCGAACTATTTGGCGACAACACCGCACACGCAACGAAACAACAACAATATTGCGAGATGATAAATCTCATTGCAATATCACAGGAATATTGCCGCTATATTCCAGCATGATAGACCGCTACGTAATATTTCTGAATATCGCAGTAATAATTCAATGTGATATATCAATCTACAATATTGCAGGAATATTATATGTTGCGGAGTGATATATCAGATTATAATATCACTGGAATATTACTGCAATGTTACAATGTGACTATCGTATGGCAACATAATGGCAATATTACAACATTATTGCGCGATGATAAATCTCATTGCAATATCACAGGAATATTGCCGCTATATTCCAGTATGACAGACTGCCACGTAATATTTCTGATTATCGCCGTAATACTGCAGTGTGAAACAATTTATATACAGGGTGTCCTGTACAGGATTTTAATGTCACATCACAAATATCTCAGAAACACTTAAATAAAAAAATATTTCAGACAAAAGTTGTTTGGCTTGAAGGAGGACAAGAAAGCGATAGCATTTTGTTTATAAATGGCGCCACTTTTGAGATATTCACTGACAATCAATTTTCATAAATGGAAATCCGAATTTTTTATTATATTTTCTTTTTCTATCAATTAATTTGAACAATTTTTGTCTGAAACATTTTTTTATTTGGTTAATATTTTTTGAGATATTTAAGGAAAACTTGGTAACTTTTTCAACATTTAACTTACGATATCTCGCTAACTATTCGTCGAAAGAAAAAATAGTATTAGACTTTTTTACTTTACTTACTATCAAGAATATATTATTATAATAGTGCCCTAACTTTTGTTAACTTATCGACCTTTGGAAATTTCAAAATTATTAAATTAACAAAAGTTAGGGCACTATTAATATATTCTTGACATTAAATAAAGTAAAAAAGTCTAATACTATATTTTCTTTCGACGAATAGTTAGCAAGATATCATAAGTTAAATGTTGGAAAAGTTACCAAGTTTTCCTTAAATATCTCAAAAAATATTAAGCAAATAAATGTTTCAGATAAAAGTTGTTCAAATTAATTGGTAGGGAAAGAAGATATAATAAAAAGTTGGGATTTTCATTTATAAAAATTGATGGTCAGTGAATATCTTGAAAGTGGCGTCATTTATCAACAAAATGCTATCGCTGTCTTATATCCCCCTTCAAGTCAAACAACTTTTATCTGAAACATTTTTTAACGCAGTGTTTCTAAAGCGTGGTCTACAATTGCCGTAAGCAATAAGAAGAAAGCGTGAACAGTAAGAAATGGACCAACCACAGTTGATTATTTTTGTCATAATCGACTGTGATTGGTTTATTTCTTACCGCTTACGCTTACTTCTTACTGCTTACTGCCATTGTAGACCACGCTTGAGATATTTTTGCGAGATTTATGCCTAGGACATTAAGTATTTTTGCAATATTGCTATGATATTTATGCAATATTTCAGTAATATTCCTGCAATATTGCAGCAACATTTAAGAAATATTGTAGCAACATTCCTGCACGATTGCAGTAATATTTTGGCAATATTTTGCAATTTTTCTGCAGTATTGTGGCTATATTTCATAGGTATTCCTGCAAGATTGTGGCGATATTTCAACAACATTGTGGCAATAGTCCTGTGATATTGTGACAATATTCCTACAACATCATAACAATATTCCCGCAATATTTCTGCGAGACTTATGCCTAGGACATTAAATATTTCTGCAATATTGTTGTCATATTTATGCAATATTTTAGTAATATTCCTGCAACATTTCTGTAATATTTCTGCAATATTGCGGTGCTATGTGGGGAGAGCAAATTGGCAGCAAATCCGCAGCAAGCCTTGCACTCAATCAGCTGATCGAGATGGTGGCGACGTGCGTTGGGTTTTAAATGGCTCCTAACCTATATATTGCTAAATTTTAATTACAATTCTGCATTTAAAAAGGGAAAGGTGTATATAGAAATAAATATTTGACAAAACAGACTGTGTAATTTATTATATAAATATACATACATATAAGATCACGATATTCGTAATTATCGTTATTTACATGTAAACGAAAGGTGAGAAATGAAATATATGCGGTGGGACATATTGACTTGTATATTCTATATAATTTCTATATAAATATTTTACAACTATTGGTACTATTCTGAATTTTGAAATTTTGACTACAAATTCATAATCAGCAATTCTAAAAACCTTTAGTAAGACGTGAATTAGACGCAGATTATTTCTAGAAAAAAGTCAGGCATAAAAGGGTTAAGTCACATTGCATAAGTTTTTATGTTATGACTACGAAAGAAATATTAGTATACAAAACTATTCAGAATTCTTATTTTTACTTTTCACTACATGAAACGAGCTAACACGCGCACGGTAATCGTTACATACTACAAGAACTTACGAGAAAAGATTACAAAAAAAGTATCAAAACTTGCGACCAATTTTTCACGCGTCAAGAGAATACTTAGAAGGAAAGATCTCTTTCTCATTTCTTCGCGAGAAGTTCACGACATCGCGTTCTGAATTAATGTTCGCTCAAATATTTTCAGCTAAGAGTCCCGTCTTTTCGGGACTGATGACGATACGGTCCGCCGACAGAGATGCTGCGCAAGCAGTGTGATGCCTGGCGATTTGAAACCCACATACGCCAAAAACTGTTCCCATTGGGCGACCCAACCAGATACACGCAAATCGTCTTCCACAGTTTCGATAAGGACGGCGACGGTTTCGTCAGCTTCAGCGATCTTCTGGATGCCACAGCATCGATCGTGAACGGCTTGGTCGATCAGCTCTCTTGGATATTTGGGTGAGCAGTAATCGCTGTTAGTAACGGACTGTCTGATTCCAGGTTCATTTTCGAGCGCAACCTGAAAGATTTTTATTTCGTGTCAGTTAAGAAGTTCGGTATGATTTTCTGTAACTTCTTCGTAACAGACTGACTACTTTATATTTTTTTCTTGCTGTTTAATGATGACTGTGCAGAGAAAACTTACATATATAATCATTTTCCTCGGAATAATACTCAAAGTTAAAAAGTGATATTTAAAAATGTTAATATTAGTCGCAATAGAAATTTTACTTGATTATTGGATATTTATTAAATATTTGATCACTAATACTTATTGAAGTCAATAATCTCGAAGATCATAACATGCGAAATACTCTCTGGACCTACTTTTCATCAGATTCTACGATTTTGATGGAGTCGGTTGCATCACGAAGCGAGAAATGTTGGTCATAATATCCGCGATTTATGAGATGGTGCAGGACGCGCAGACCATCCAGCCCGCAGTTAATATCCAAGTGGACAAGTTCTTCAAGAAGATGGACGCAGACAGAGACGGAATAGTCACCAGGGAGGAACTCATAAACGGTTGTAAAAATGTACGAGCAATTAGTTTCCATAACGTCTCGCGATACGACATCGTTATTTTAGTGATAATGAATAGTAGTATACATTTTGAAATTTAATAAATATTTTATCTTCTTACAGGATACCATTATATACAACCAGTTGAGTTTATTTAATAAGATTTGGTGACCGAATGAAAACGTCCTTCAGAGATTAACGAGCAATTTATCCACTGCGACCGCTCCTAGCGACTAGGAAGCGGGCAAAGTCGCGACGATCTGTCCGTCGCCCTCCGCCTATGCAAAATTTTCACGAAAGAATGTTGGGCGCCAGGCACGAATATCCCACCAACACTAACTAAGCGGCGGCGAGTCGACGCGATCGCCTACGAACTCGACAGCTCCTGCCCTTTTAAGTCGGAGATGGGGGTGGGTCTCTGGTGGGGATTAGGAGGGGAACTCGGCGGGTAATTAAATTAATTAACACGCAAACTGTAGAACAAGTAGTAATCCGCGTGTATTTTCTTTACGGTAATCAGTAATACAAGTCTTTTGACTCCTGACGTAGAAGCGACATCGATCTCGATAGGTCCGCGCGACCCGCGATTC